CACAGACGTGCGGGTCTGACAGGAGCAGAACATTGTCCTCATACCGATCTGAGATCCTCTGCGATCCGTGCGGAGGAACTACCACTACAAGCCGTCAGCCCCCTTTTCGACAGCTCCTCGTGGATGGATCTTTATCTCCATGACACCGCGCCGGACGATACCCTCTGCCTCGACCAAAGCGCATGTAGACCGCAACCCACAAAAGAGGCACAACACTCCAGAGGTGGCGCACCGGAACCCCGAGGCGGTCAGGTCTTCCCAACCACCGCATGCCGAACGCTTGTGCAAGAATGCCTTCGCTTTGTCCGGAGCGTCTTGAAAAGCGATCCGGGGTGGTGTCAGTCTACATATGGATAAACCTGAGTGCCTTTTCATCTTATCTTGATATATGTACGCAATATAGTCTTTTTTACTAGAAACTATCCAGCTTCAGGAAACGCATGCGTAGATGAGGAGGTATCATGAGGCTCTATCGGCGAAGAGCGACAGGTCTTATTCTAGCCCACGGCGGCGAGCCCTGGCAGGCCCAAAATGTCTCCCAATCACCGTATTGTCGGGGTGACTGGGGAGTTGGTGCTTTGCGGAACCTGACGAGGTACACATTAGCATAGAGTCCATCATGAAGGATAACACAGCCGAGTCTATGCAGGAAGTACATTATCTTATTTCAGTAACTTTGATTCAAATGAGCCGGCCGCAGGACAGCCATGATGGAATAAGCGCTTCTGGACTCGAGCGTGAGCCGTTGCACAGGCAATGCCACTGCGCTACGCCAAGGTCACCACTCACCGTGACAAATAACGCAGACGACGGAAACGGGCATGACTTGCAGGCGTGTAGCTACAGACGCCACCTACGTACGGCAAAAACAGAGTCAAGCCAGCTATTGTCAACTAGAGTAAGTTCATGGCCATTTCAGGGCATGCTGTTCATCTGTCTAAATTGTCCCTGTTGTCTAGGGTAGGATCGCCCTCCGTATAATACATCAGGATCCTATGTTGGCGGGCCTCGGGACGAGTTTCCCCAAGCCACGGTGTGAGTAACAACTATGCATTGTGAATTTGCTTCCACAGAGCGGAATCAGCGCCTTCCTCCCCCACAAGCAGTTCCTGTACACTTGGATGTACACCCCTTGCACGACTTCGAGATCATCGGCCGCACCGGGCCGTACTGGGTAGGCCTGCGCCGCCGACAGTCGAGCTCCCAACTGGTCTTACTGCACCGCGTGCAGCAGACGAGCTTGGCTGACTTCCGAAGGCTGTCGCGGGTGGTGCATCCTCACATTTCGCGGCCCGTAGGCCTCTACCTCGTCAAGCTCGACGCCTATATTGCGTTTGAGCACACGGAGCTGGATGTTCACGATCTTCCTTTCCGGTCCGTGGCCGACGTGGGGAATATCATGGCGCAGGTGCGTCGCTCGCGGCAATTGCAGGGAAAGCATGTTGACGTGACTGACTCGGCAGGTAATGCGCGCTATTCACTTTTTGCTTGACCATCGCATTGGATTCCGCATTCATGGAATCAGATTGTCGTCTACCGGCTGTGCCAAACTAGGTGAGACAACGAGTGGCGTATGCTAGTAGACGGGAGAAGCTAAACTATGCTAGTATTGGACTGGGGCTTTGAGGCGAACATCGACTTCACGATCATGGAAGCGAACATGGATTATGTGGCCTGCAGCTTGGGCGAGACACTCACCTCGTTGTATCTCGTTGGACGTAAGGAGAGAGGAGACGCTGCCAGTTTCATAAGCGCCTTGCGTTCAGGCGTGCTACCTTCAAAGGATGTGGGACAGACTTTTCGACCTAGTACGTGACAGAAGCTGACCCTGTGCAGCACCCCTTTATCGCAGACTGCGGGGGTCAAGAAGGCCTCCGACATCTCTGTCACTTTGCACTACGGACCCAACTGCCGTCCAGCAGCTCGACAAGGGGGGTATCTGACAAGGCCCACGAGCCTCTGGCTGATAGTACTTGACCTACACCAGCCTGCGTCCCATATGACTCCAAAACTACGAGCGCCGATAGTGTCGCCTCAGCCACATCCTACGATATAGATGGGAAGAAGGGAGGGCAATAGATATCCCACATTCAGCCAGTGTCTGCCGGTGGTCTAGGCTTTGTCCTTTCCAATACACTGGAACATCTGGGCGCATGGTGATAAGCCTCGACCCTGTTTGCTCAATGTGTACTGTTCCGAAAGATCGCGCATCACACTTGAGGTAGTGATGGGGCCATTTTCTATGGCATATAAGTGCCCATCCTGAGTCTGTCTGATAAGACCCCAGACCTTGATCTGTGGATAGGAGCTGCCCGAGGCGGGGGTTCTTCCGGGCAGGAACTATGTCGAAGATGCATAGTATCCTGGTTCGCTAGG